CTATGTACATAAGCCTATATGGGTGGTTGTCAAAAGTATGGTCCCTTTTTGGGTACCCTAAATATTAGGGGCCGTATTATAATAGGGATCCAAAAAGGGGCCATAATTTTGACAACCACCCATATACCCCTTTACAAGGGTTTGCCGTTTTCTTCCTCAAGCAGACCTTAAGGATGCCTCCATAAAGGGTTTAGGGTTTAGGGTTATAGTTTCCATTTGCATTTCCATTATCCATCTATAACCCCAATATGTACCCTATAACCCCCATATAAACCCTATATAACCCATATAGTAAGGTAAGGGAGCCCAAAAGTTCATTGCCTTGAAAAATGCCTAAGCTTTCAGAACTGTTCGTTTCTATGGTGCAGGCGGAAGTGCAGCTTTCAGGATCTAGGATTAAGCAAGCCATATGGGAACTTCATAGGTATCAGGCAGCCAGCTGGGACCTTGCAATGCCTTTGGGAGGTCAGTCCTTCATTACGGTTCCCCCTTACATCTAGCCCCTGAAGAATTTAGAGGTGCGGAAAGCTCATGATACAGGATTCCCGGTTCAGACTTCGAATCGATGGATGGGATTGCGGATCGAATTCCAAATCAAGCGGCGCGGCCAAGATTTAGTAGTTGCCAGAAATCGGGGGCCCCCATGTAAACCCCTAAATACTACAATCCTATTATGGGGACTCCCGAACAGGTGAACCCAATTTGTCGGAATTCGATAAGGTTCCGGGCTCACAGTTTCGGGTCAAGGCCAACCCATGGGGCACAGACGACTCTATTATATGAGCTATATAGTCTAAACTTCTTAAATGGGGCTTACACATGGGATTATATAGGTGAGTAGTATAGGGGTTGTTAAGGGGGATACTAGGAGTTCATCCCTTATGCAATGCCCAAAGCTCAGTCTCCATCAAACTCTCCCAAGTAAATACTGACCAAACTGGTGTGGGGGTGGTTATCAAATCTTGGGCTGCTCTTGCGGACCCTTTGGCAACGAGGATAGTAAGGGTCCCCTGCAGATGTAGCAGGACATTTTCAAAAAGCTCCCCTATGGTACTTTCCATGTATAAGAAGATCACCTTAGTTCCCTTATCTCAAACCCTAACCCCCAAACCCTAAAACCCTAAAACATCAAAGCACTATTTTAAAGGACCTCCCGAAAAGAGACCCTCTGATTTTCCTGTGAAAACTCACAAGTCAAGCAAGCGCAAGCCGGAGCTTGGTTCAGGGTTTGGGGCTTAGGGTTTAGGGTCTGGGGTTTAAAGTTTAGGATACTAGGTTTAGGGTTTAAGGTTTGGGGCTGAGGGTTTAGGCTCTGGGGTTTAAAGTTTGGGATACTAGGTTTAGGGTTTCAGGTTTGGGGCTTAGGGTTTAGGGTCACAATCTACTGAAACAGAGGGCTGGACCTCTTCAATGAGGTGCCTGTTTTCTCAGCGACGTTTACTGTAGGGATCTCGGAAACTTTGAATCCTAAGTATCCTAAGCTCTAAGCCCTTTTTGCTACAGACTTGTCTATCCGCCCCTAAACCCTACACCCTTTATATACCCTAAAGCCCTGAACCCTACACGGAGACTGCGTTTGGTTTCAGAGGCAACACACAGAAATACGGCACCGACCAGCTTAAAAAATACTATCAGAACAAAATCAGAACAAAACAAAGTACCTGGACACCCCTGGACATCCAAAGTATACGGAATGGTGGCCTGTGTGACTGCTTTTAGGTTTGGGGCCATTTTACGACTACATTGGACGGTCTCCCTTCTCAAAATCCTACTCTTAAATGCACCATGAACCCAGGGGCCCAATACAGTGTAATTCACGAACATACTTGAAATCATACTAGGAGTCCTACTAGAATCTAGGGCATGTTCCTCAGTTGTGGGAACGCAATCCAGGTCCCACGGCCCACGCTACACCCTGAACCCTGAACCCTAAACCCTAAAGCACTAAACTCTAAAACACTAAAACACCCTACAAACCCTACTAAAACACTGAAGCCCTGAATGCATACACCCTAAAATCCATAAAGCCCTAAACCCTAAGTCCCTAAACCCTAAAGCACTAGACCCAAAAAAAGCATGAACCCTAACACCCAAAGCCCAAAACCCTAGATCATAAAAACCTAAAACCCTGAATTCCCCAAACCCTAAATCCCTAAAACCCTAAACCCTCAAACCCATTCATCCCTTACACCCTCAAACCCTGAAACCCTAAAACCCTGAAACCCACTGAACCCTAAGCCCCAAAAACCCCAAACCTATTGAACCTTAAACCAGAAAAACCCGAAACACCCGACCCCCCAAAAACGGGTAAAACCCCAAAATCACAAAACCCCTGAACCCTAAACCCATTAAACCTCAAAACCCTAAACCCATTAAACTTCAAAACCCTAAAGCCCTAAACCCTAAAACCCAAAAAACCTTAAACCCCACACCCATCACACCTTAAACCCCTAAACCCTGAAACCCACTAAACCCTGAACCCTGAACCCTAACACCACAAACCCAGTAAACCTTAAAGCCCTAAAAGCATAAACCCTAAAACCCTCAAACCCTAAAACCTTCAGCCAGGTCTCAAGGCACTCCTGTTTCAAGGCCTGGCAGACGGAAAGCCAGTCGCCTTTCCTCGGTCTGGAGCTTACCAGGTCATGGTTGAGAACCCCAAAGTGGGAATGTTGGTTAGGGTTTAGGGTCAAGGGTTCAGGGTTTAGGGCTGAGAGCTTTGTACTTACAATTGAGTGAGCACATATAGCCAAGGGTTTGAATGTGTAGAATACTAAAAGCTCCAGAAGAAATGTAGAATGTTTTCTGAATCTCCCCATGACGGATCTGCTTCCGGTTTCGGCTTAAGGGTGGGGAGGACATTGGGAATATCAGCTCCTCAGGATGCAGAATAGGAGGGTACTGTAGGGCGGTGGGAGGAAAAGGAGGAACAAATTTCAGCTTTCCTGCAGATTGGCCATGCGAGCAAAGTGAGCTTTCGGACAGCCTGCAGGGAGACTGAATCAGAGCTGGCTTTTTCATGCAAGCGCAGCAAGAGTTTCGAACTTCACACACCCTAGCCCCTAGCACCTGCAAAGAACAGCACGGTTGACTCGTCTCGGAGACTCCCACTTGGAGGGTCAGGGGGACTTAGTAACTAGGTTAATAACTAGGATAACTAGGGTTACTATTTGGGTTATAGGGGTTATTAACCTGGTTACTAAGTCCCCCTGACCCTCCAAGCACTCATCTGTGCGGAACTCATGCCTAGGCCTCCCAGCTCTTCACATAGACATTGAATTCCTCCTTGCCATTGCTCTTGATGTCCATGGTGACCTTATCCCCATGGGTGATGGTCTGTCCAGGTACAACCTCAAAGCGGCAGTGGCGCAACAACTCCACCGCGGCCGTTTTAGCTTCGAAGAGAGCCATGTCCATGCCAAGACAGATCCTCGGCCCTGCTTGGAAGACAGGAAACCTGGGTTGCTGTTAAAGAACTTAAACCGTGTTAACATAATATGTGGATATAGATATATATACACATATTAAATATTGGTGGTTAATCCTATTATATGGGATTATATGGGTATATACTAAATATTGGGGCTTAGTATAGTTATTCAAAAAGTTTCGGAACAGCAGCCCAGAAACTCGTGCTGAGGCGGCGCAGTGAAGGGGATCCAACGCTCTGGACGGAAAACCTCGGGTTCCGGGTACCTCTTCGCATCACGGCCCATGTTGTAAGGGCAATAGGCCACTTTTGCCATAGCAGGGACTTTCCAACCCCCAGGCACAACATCATCCTCAAAAGCCATCTTGCCATCAAAGGGAACAGGAGGCCACAATCGCAAAGTTTCATAGATGACACCATTCAGGTAAGGCAGCTCGCTTGCTGACAAGCTTTTCAAGTTCAGCGGTGTGTCCGGTGGCAGCTTTTGCATGATCTCGCTGTGAAGTTTTGCTTGTGTGTCTTGGTTCTGCGTGAGCTCATAGAACATCCACGACAGCAGGCAAGCTGTAGTATCCCTGCCGGCAATAATGAGATGAAGCACCATCTGCTTCACGAAGTCTGTACTGAAATTTGCCTGGATGAAGAGTGCAAGCAAGTCCCGGCGTTCCTTGAGCTTTGGATCGTCCCGGCATTTCTGGACCAGGCGCTTGGCCTCCTGATCCAGCACCCAAGTTGCCGCTTTCATGGTACGGTGCCTCGGCGAAAAAATGTCCCAAATTCGTCGAGCCAATCCTCCACACCTGCCACCGAAAGGCCATGGCAGGAAGGTGCTGAAAAAGATGTAGGAAGCGATTGAGTCGATGGCGTGCTTGCGCATGTTGTTCTGAGCCGCGTCAAAAGCCTTTCCGTACTTGTTTGGCATGCCCACTGCGGTGTTGGACTCCTCCCCAAAGAAGATCCGCATAATGCTGTCAAAAGTGAAGTTGAAGAAACACGACTGCAGGTCTACCGGATTCCCTTGACCTCGAGCTTTCTGGAGGAACTTACGAAGAGTCTCGGCCTTCTCCACAAAAACCTCATTCATCAAACTGTTGAAATTCTTTCGGCTGAATATTTGAGATGAAACCTTTCGCATGTTGGCCCACTCTTGGCCAGCGTCTGAAGACCCTACACCATGCTTGACCACGAATATGCCATCACCTAAGAAGTCCTGAAAGTAGTAGAAGAACCTCAAGCTGCGTGGGAACCTCCACAGAAAAGCAGTTTTTTTCCGTTAATGGTCTAATAACAAGCCAAACACACAAGAATAAGGCTCATTATTCCTGGTTAAGAGGCAGTTTTGGCGTCTTTATCAAGAAATGTGCTCTTGACATGCCTAGGGGCGGGTCGTACAGATCATCTGGCTTTGTGTACTTGTTGAACTCATCTTTCAGCATGTGCCGTACAATGTCGGGGTCGTTCACAATCAGGGTGAACAGCCCAGGATGCCAGCTAAATCCAAGGTTTTTGGAGATGGGCTGTCCCACTGTGATTTCATGTCGCCAGTCGTGCAGACGATGCATATTCAAAGTCAGGTCCTTGAGCCACCCCACCTGGGTTGCTGTTAAGGGGGTCGGGTTTAGGGTTTAGGGTTTATTGTTGTAAGGAAACCCTATTAATGTCGCACTCGCTTAACCAAAGCTACCCGCAATTGCCGCAAGCTTCAGGGAGTTATTGAGGACAGGGAAATGTTTTGTGTCTTGCTTTTATGTCAAGCCTTAGGGGCCAAAATACAAATACTTATACTAATAATAATACTAATACTATTAGGCCTCTGCTTGGACCCTCCAACAATTTTGATTCAGGACGCCCTAAATTGCTTGGAGGGCCCAACACTAGAGCGGATGCAACATTATCTACTACATACCCATACTCGGATAACTGAAAATGAAGTTCCTCAACAACAACCCAGCCACGGGAGCATCATGCCCGGCCCCCTTTGTAGCCGGCATGTCTCTTAGTGCAGCCCTCATCCGTGAAGAGGCCCTGAATCCCCAAACCAAGCGGTACAGGACCTGCACAGCACCGAAGACCCCATACGCCAGCAAGCTCCTCACCACCAGCGTCTTGGAAAGGGCTGCTCCCTTGAAATCTTCCATGTGAGCCATAGTCTAAACTCCTAGTATCGCCCTTAATAACCCCTATCGTAGTTCCCTATATAATCCCCTATATAACCCCCCTTTAAGGAGTTTAGACTATGGCTCATGTGCATTTGGACCAAACTCGCTTAAGCCAGACTCCGACGTCTGCTCACTTTCCTGGGGGCTTTGCAACATGAAGCCACAAAGCCTAATATAATACATAGCCTACAGCCCCTATAACCCCAACATTGCTAGGGCTGAAGCTCGAGAAAAACTGCTTTGGGTGCTGGGGTATCCTTCTGCTAGGCAAAGAGAGCTTTACTGGTAACGACTACAGCAGTCCTCAAGTGGATAGAGCATCAAGCCCTAAAATGATCACAACAAGACCATTGTTGCGGTCTATGTGCTTAAGGGTAATTTGGATGATAGCCAGCCGCCGTTCGAGGCAGGACTGTTATGAGGGATTACCCTAAGCCCTAAACCCTAAGCCCTAAACCCTCGTATAGTATAGACTACCAGTAGGGCATCCCTTCCCTCGATCCCTACTAAGCATCAGGGTAAAGAGTCCACCAACCTTTCATGAACTGAACTCTGCCCCTGCAAAACTGGTCACACGACACATTTGGTCACCCCAGCCTTCAGAAGAAGGACCCTATGACTCTTGAAGGCCCTTATGAAAAAGTGGTGGGATTACTCAGATATCCTCCTACTACCGAACTTTTTAAATAATCGATATGACCCCGACTCCCACGCCGTTGTCCGTTTCTTTCTCCTTAATTGCGTTGCCAAAGACAAGTGAGTAGTGTTTTTTTTGGTGGTTGAACCTAGTAAGATAATATTCCTTATTTCAAAGACTATACCCCCAAAGGAGGATAGAATCTTACTCTATATTGGGCACCATAGTATCCCCAAATAAAATACTTGTCAAGTCTTGCAATCAGAGATTCAGGAAGCTGTCGATGCGGAGGGCTGTACCTTGCCGTTAATTAATGTAAGGTGCAGGGTTTAGGGTTTAGGGTTGAGCCAAGAGGGCATAATGTAGACCCATGATTAATAAACCCCCTCCTTGTAAGCCTAAGTATAAGGATGCCTACTATAATCCCTATTAAGGGGAGGGGTTCATTAATCAGGGGTCTGGGTTGTGAGTTTCCAGAAATAGGGGCCGCTATACACACCCCAATATGCTATTGTAACCCAAATTATTGTTGTTGGAAAGTCCCATTTGAGCTATAGTCTAAACTCGCACGTAGTCTTCCCCTAAGTCACCCCTAAAGTACTCTCCTATAAAATCCCCCATAGAAGCCCGTTTAAAAGGTTTAGACTATGGCTCATCTAAAGGTTTGAGGACATGATTGCCACAAACATCGAGGGCCAACGTATTCCTGAGCCTGTGCTATACTTGGAGTAAACAAGCCATGGACTCATACTGTACCAAGGGTTTAGAGCTTATACTGTACAAATTCATGCCGACTCTCCTGCATGGTACTACCAGGCCTTGTGCTTTCAAGGATTAGGCCCTGGGGCTCTACTCCTCCTTGATGATGGCAATGAAAATTTCCCCAGAGACGGTCAACTCATTTTCTGCAACCCCTAAACCCTAAACCCTAAAACACGAGACCTAGAAGCCGCAACAGAATAAGATTCTTTGGGTTTAGGGTTCAGGTGGTGGGATGAATAATTGCATTGTAGTAAGGTGTCCAGGACTGGGCCTGAAATCTTTGATAGGAACCCTAACCCTCATACACAATCCCTGCAATTTCTCTATATATCCGTTCAAGGTCCTCCATCCTGAGTAACGCTTATAGTCCCCTTAAGTAGATAGAATATGGGGTATTTGGGGACTTTATTATACTTATACCCAAAGCCACATTCTATCTCTTTAAGGGGGACTATAACCCTAAACCCCAACCACCTGCTTATTCCCTTCGAAGGAGGGATTCTGTTTGGGGCTTCCATGTCGATTTGGAGGAGGGTATGGTAAACCCTAAACCCTATGCATCCCATCATCCCCCCTACATGAGCTAAAGTCTAAACTCCGAGTATCCCCCAGAATAACTAGAATAACCCTATAACACTCCCCTATATAAGCCACCTTTAAGGAGTTTAGAGTATAGCTGACATGAACCCTTTCAAAACTTACTTCGCAGAAAGCTGCGCAGGCGGTGCGTCACCGGCTTGGGTGGGTCCTGCCGCCAGTGCTGCGCTTCCTCCTGGCTTGTGGTTTGGGGTTTAAGGTTCAAAATTTACGGGTTTAGGGTTTAGGCTTCATTGTTAGTAGGGTCCTCTTGAGGCGGTTACAGGGGGCATGTCCATATTATATATATATATACACACATAGAATGTGGAAAGAGGTCTTTCTGTATGGGAATAGATCTATCTGCGTATATGATATCCGTATAAGTATATGTATATGGGCATTTATGGAACAACTTGAACTATGGTGATACCGGGGGCTATATTGAGCTTTTGTACCTTTCGCGACGAACGAACAAGAAGCTCGCACGTATTAGAACGCGTAGGAATGGAGCTGATTACTCCTGCTCTAGGCCCCCTCCTTCATCACACCTATTGAAGGATACCTAAAGCTCCTTCATGACGCCTATTTAAGGAAACCCTAAACCCTAAATCCCTAAACCTTATACTTTAAACCCCAAACCCTAAGCGAGTTAAAGGTGTTTTAGCTTTTGATGTGGGAACTCCCACGGGATGCTAGGCTCTGTATCCTTAGACCTTATCGCGGGGCTTAGGGCTGCTATAAACCCCTAAATCTCTGCATGGTAGTTTCCATTTTCTTTTCCATAATCCCAAGATATACCCAATATATCCCCTATATAACCCCCTAAACCCTAAACCCTAAACCCTGTCCCCTAAACCGTACCTTCTGACTTCAGGCTTCCTTTTTTCATGCCTTGAACTCCTTCTTCAGCAGCAACCCAGAACCCCTAGGGTTGAGGGTTTAGGATTTAGGGTTTAGGGGTTTAGGGTTTGGGGCATGAACCCAAAGGAACCCTATAAAATCCCGATGAATTTCCACGTAATCATCTTACGGGATCAACTTTTCAATCCATTTGCGGGCCTCCCTAAACCCTAAACCTTAAACCCTAAACCCTAGAAGTGTAGAACTTCGGGAGCGCCCTTCGCGCAGCGAACCCCAGACAGGGCCCTGTAAAGACTGCAGCCCTGCTCAAACAAATGCCTGCGCGGGGTTCCATCTTAGCTTTCGGGAGCGTACTTGGAGGTCAGGCAGACTTCGTAGGTGTACTTCTCCCCCCGTTATGTACCATAATATGGATAGTTACATAGTAAACAACAGGGTTTCCTTATTATAGCCCTTTTCCCTAAGCCCTAAATCCTATGGCCCAGTTATCCCCATTCCAACCCTAAATCCTAAACCCTCAAAGACCCACTTACTAAGTCCCCTGACCCCCCAAGTAAGGCTTGAAGCTTCGACATGGTTTCGGGCTTTGGGGTTTAAGGTTTGAGGTTT